ATAGAAAGAGAGAGAGAGAGAGAGAGAGAGACAAAGAAAGAAACAAAGAGAAGGGAGAGAAAGAGAGAGAGAAAGAGAGGGGCGTAGTGAGAGAGAGTGGGGTTTTTTGGGGGGGCAAGGGGGGGGGCTTAAAGAAACAGAGATATCAGGTTAAGCATTTCATTAACATCAAAATTTAGGTGAGAAAGCTGAGAAGTTAGACGCCACATGAGAACCTTTGGAAAGAATTAGAGCACTTTACTGTCCTAGCAACCTAGATCTACCGGAATCTCCTAGATTCTCATGTTTGTTCTACTCGAGTGCAATTTCAACCCCACACGAGCAGGTCATGTTGATTTAGAGAGCGGAAGACGTGTGAGAAGTTGACGTTCGAATCTTGACCTGGTTGGGGTCACATTTCATTTAGCACAAACGTTTCCAGGCCGGGCTTGAAGTCAGACCACGTAAGTTTCACCTTCGATTTTATCTATTTTGGGTGCTAAATAAGAAACGTTAGTAAAAGAGGGTTTCCTATCAACGCTCAACAGCAACAGAGGATGAAAAAAGATTGGGGGGGGGGTAAGTAAAAGAGGGTTTAGTGGGATTTAACCGACAGCGGAGAGAGTAAGCTTTACTTTTAAAAATCAACAAAGGCTCAAACGTAGATAGATAGATGATATGAAAGAAAGTTGATTGCATTAAATATTGTTTTGTTTTTTAAAAGAATGAATGAGTTTTTAAAAGAAAATTTACAAGATGAGGAAAGAAATGAATAAATAGAAAAATTATATAATGAATAAACAAATATATTATACAAAAGAGAGAGCTACATCTTTGTCCATTTACAGGTAACTACGTATGAGAAACACAGGTGTCTGAGTGGTCGCCGGTGTAGCGTGATCCGGGACTAAAAGACCGGGGAGGAAGAGTGTATGTGTGTCGGAGACGGAGTGAGGGAGGGAGGGGGGGAGGGGTGGAGAGAAGTGGAGAGAAAGGGGGAGACAAATAGGGGACTGATGGGACTGACCGACCCCCTGGGAAAGAAGGGAAGGAGAAGAGCTCGTTTACGCAGTGGGTACAGCTCGTTTGGACAATGGCTACCCGGTGACAAACGTGGGTGTGGCTCCCGCCTTGCTTGTCGCGCAGGAAACCAGACACCACCAGTCCTGTATGTCGTAGGACCTACGCGCCTCGCTCGAGTGAGCAATTAGGGGACGGGAGGGGGAAAGGCGGGTGCCCGGTATGTGCGTAGGGAGAAGAAGGGATTGGGGAAGGGGTGGAAGGGGGGGGGCAAAGAAATAGAATCTGACTGCGCTCTGCGCCGCTGACTGGATGGATGGCTGCTGGTTGCTGACTTACTTATTGGCATTGGCTGGTTGGTTTGTGGATTGTGAAATACATAAAGTGTACTTGTGTTGTATGTTTCTTTTTTTTTTACGGAGGGCAGTCACAGTGTCGTGACTTACATATCCTGCTTTTTCTTCTGCCCTCTTTTGCTGTGAGAGATTATGGCATTATCAAAGTGTGTGTGTAGGGGG